TAAATATATATTTATTAATGTAATACTTAATTTAATTTATGTTTTAAGAACGTTTCTTTCGAAACTTTTCTTCGGAACTTTATTTGTGAAGATGTGAACCAATAACAAAGGCTATGTTCTTTGTATTTATGTCACATATTTCCAAAAAATACTATCACAATATCCGTATTTTTCCAACGAAAAATGAGTTCTACGGTTTCCAGTTGAACAGCAAAGAAAAATATTTGGACAGTGTACTAAAATTGCTGTCAGGTCCTACATTGGACCGTATGATTTTACAACCCGTAAGTTAACAATCGTTTTCTTCTCGACTTACTTAAGAAATATGATCAATTATTATATAAAACTTTTGCTTAGATACGTAAATGAAGGTAGCTGTCCTGGATGCCCATGACTTCCTGAATGCCACGATTGGTACAATAAATTTGCCCTTGTTCACTAACGAGAAGCATCCAAATATTTCTTTTTAATTTTTATTTACTTATTTTAATGAATTATTCTTCCCATTTTTTTATTAATAAAATGTATTCTAATTTTTTTTAATAGTTCATTTCAGATAAATTCAATAATGTAAGAACAATTAGCATATTCCTCCTAATCTTATGGTTTTGCAATCGCAAAAGTCTAAAATAGCATAAGCAAAAAGGGAATTATAAGAAAATGCACACGTACCATTTTATATGTGAAGATTGTGGTTTAAAATTAAATTAAGTATACAACTTATTATTCTAAATTAAATGAATTATAAATTTTCTAAATAACAGTAGCGAGGTATTTGATAAGGTATGGAACCACCGCAGTGGGGCCAATCAAAACCATACTTACGTTTTTTTTGGGGTACGTAAATGGTTAGATTTTAAATACATGTGAATAAAATAAACATTTGAATGATAATGGCAGAAATGAATAGTTTCACTGCTTATGAGAATTGTCGGTTTTGGGAGTAATTTGCATACGTACATTCACCCATGCTAATTCGAACCAAAGGAAGAATACACTGTCCTGAGATAACGAATTGAGCTTTGGCGAGTGAGCATCTTCATCGCGAAAATGTGCGGCACGGCGTCGGTGGTCGTCGCGAGCGTCGCGTTGATCGATACGCTCGTGAACCTGTACGACGACGTCGTTGTTCCCCGAGCTCCCCACCTTCATAAAACCATCCTCCACCGAATAACTGGGCTTCCTTGCGTTTCGCTGCGACCGGCGTCGTCAGTCGTCGCGATGGCACAGAAGCGGCGTCGTTTTTTCTGTGTTCCAGTCGCGTTCTTGATGTTGTTCGGTACTTGGACATCGTCGCCTTTGACGGGGGCAACACGTCTCATTGCCGGACTCCTCTAGTGGGCAATGCGGGGGGTTCACCATGACATCGTCCTCGTCGTCGTTCCTCCAGCTCGCTGGCGATGACTTGGAGGCGGCGGGGTCGTGGCTGGAGTCCCATCCTGGCCTGCTGGAGACCTGGCTACGAGAACATGCGTCTCCCGAACTTCGTCAAAGAGTTCAGCAGGCCGTATTGCCCACCGGGTCCAGTTCCACTTCCCCCACCTCGTCGACGACGTTTCCCAATAGAAATAACATTACCGCTGATCTTTTCCAGCTTTGGCTGGCCAGCGCACCCACCAAAAATGAATTACAGGTAGTTTGACAGACCGGTAACATAATCTATATGTACAGTTTGTCCCACACAATGATTCCAATTACAGAAGGTGTTTCATGATTTGAAGTTTCCGTGTAAAAAAAAAATTGAATTTTGTTTACTGAGTACTTTAAAATTCCACTTGACTTTTTCGTTAGAATTTTCAGTTTAAAAAATAAAGTTTAAACTTCTACAAAAATAAACATACATTACGTAACAGCTATCAATGCCTTCACTATGTATATTTTCACAAATTTAAACACTCAGTATGTATCCTGTATAATTAATATGATTGGCAATTACTGCTTTTAAAATTATCTAAAAAACTAATGTAATAATTTAGTACTTTATTGATAAACTTTCAAATTAAGTAGATAAAACTGTTGACTGTTGGTATTTTAAAATTAGAATGGGTTTAATTACTATTAACATCTCTTGCTACCATTCAGGGAATAAAAACAAATAATCAAAGTTTATGCTAACAATATTTATATTTCTGAATATATATCTAGGTATTTCTAGCCCACGACTAACTAGGAATGAATTTAAACCATAATTTGTTATAGTTTTTGTAAATTTAAATATCTACAAATTTTCTTAAGCTTCACATCACTATTTATGTCTATTTGCATTAGATCTCTCTTTTAAGGTGCCTTTAGAAGCCATAAAATTATTCAAAGCTGCTTGAAAAATGATGGTAATTACGAATTCATTTGCATTTTATAAGGGAAGCAATTCTTTTGAAATCCCTTGGAGGCCAACTAAATTGTAGTCGATTTAAATATAAATTTTAAAATTTCCTCATTCTAGTCGCGAAACGAAAGATATAATCCACAAATGAATTGTTTTAATTATGTCTTAAATTTGCAGCTAATATAATTTTATATTTAAGAATTTAAAAGTTTATTTATTTATTATGTAATTTAATATTCTATACTTAACTTCAAAATCCAGGTATGAGCATTAAAATGTCCTTAATCATTCCGTAAAATCAAGGTTTTTTATTACCTATTTTTTGAAACTATATAGTGACGAAAATTCAGGATTAAAGGACTATTCATATCTTACTGAATGATATTATTCTCTAGCAAAATTTCCCTCTTGAGTAGTTACACAAAAAGGAAAATAATAACTGAAAGATTTTCTATTAACGTATATACTATTCAAAAATGTTGCTGTCATCAGACATAAAAGGCCTCTGTATTGATAAACGGCGTTCTTTTTCAAATGAATTGCGGTCTAAACGTTCTATTTAGTATACAACACATAATAGCATCACTGCATACGTTATTATTATACATAGATATAAGCTTTTTGGCTTTTCAAACTTTCACGACTTGAAAAAATATATCCTTTATCCGTTACTACCAATTTCTTTCTTCAATTTTTATTCAAATGTCCAAACGATAAACAATGTACGTAAAATAGAAAAAGTGCGCAGTTGAACGTTGAAAGAATAATAAAAACGCTTATTAATAACTTAGATACGTTTACCCAACCAGAAAATATTTGAAATTATGGAATGCATTGATCGAGTAGATGCTTAGCTGTCTCATATTTTTGATGATATTGGATTAAAGAATAGAAATATAGTCATACTTAGCCAATAAATAAAAACAGATCAAAAATATTCGTATATTTATAAAGGAGGACAAAGTAGAGACAGAGCTAGGTTAAAAGTTGAATACAAAACACTAAATAAAGTCACCGATTTTGGATATCTAGGGTGAAAAAAGCGGTAGATATAAAAGGGGTCGCTTTTAGCACTTCTGCGCTAAGAAATAGTTAATTTGGAAATTGGAAAAAGATTATTGAAAGTGTATATTTGGAGCACGGCGCTGTATGGATGCGAAACGTAGTAAAGTGGGATCGAGTTAGTGGGTTTCTTGATCTCATGCCGCATGCCTTCTTTGGGTTAATAATTTACCCCTTGATAAGAAACAAAAAGATTATTGACAGATGCACGCTTTCCGGTATGGCAAGCACCATTCGTTAGTATAAGAGTGGGAAATTTTCATTTTCATTTGAGATAGTTTAAGATTGCAGCTGATTATCCCACTCTTGTGCCTACGAAAAGTGCAAGGAATTTTTATAGCAGAAGCGTAAAAAAATGACTGACTCCTTTGTAAATGATGAACATATTTCTTTTAAGAAGGTTTTAATACTTGACATTGATTGTTAAATAAGATTAGGAAAACAGACTTACAATAAGTCCAAAAAAGCTTTTCCACATCAAATCCTACCTCTTTCCTTTCTATCACCAAATGTAGTTTTAATCTTCTAGTTATTAACACGATATATTCATCTTGATACAGATATGTATTTACCCAGTTGCAGCTTTCGTTCACTTAAAAATCTTCGGCACGTGTTTGTCCTTCTTATCTTCTTAAAACGGCATTTTCTTTACTCTCTCAGGAAATCTTTAGAACGGTTATTGAAATAGGCCTTCATTACATAAGTTCTTGTATTTTACGTGAAACGCCGAGTCGGCAAAGGTGAAAAGGCAAGGCGTCTATTTTATATGGGAGAAACAGCACTGAACAGATTCAATGGTGAGGAAATTAGGTCTATCTCCATTCGAGAAAGTTGCTGGTAACGTACTTTTTCTATCCTTTACCTTTATGCTTTCAAACTCTGTCATTATTTATTGATAAAAGGAAATTATTATATTAAATACATGAATGAATATATCTATTTGTTTTTAATCAGATTCTCACGAAAAACTAAGACGAATATATGTAATAAATTATCATTAAATTTCCNCTACTCTTATTTTGAATGGATGCTTTCTATTGTTACGAATTAGAGACATGGAAACTAGAAAAAGAAACGGAACGTCCCGGCTCGCCTCGGCTATCGAATTTAACTTTAATTAATTACTAGCTTTTCCCCGCGGCTTCGCTCGCAGAAATTAATATTTTTTCTCCATAAAACCTTTTAACTCCCAATTCACCCTTATAACGTTTTAATTTTATGTAATGTCGCCATCTTAGATTTCAAATACAAACGTAGCAACAACATTTCATCCTTTAGGGTTGATTTTTAAAAATTGTCAAAGCACATATTTGCTTAATTTCAACAATGATTGATTGTCATTAATATGATATTGCTTAAATCACCCAGAATCACCTCACCAATTATATAACGTGAATCACTTTTTAAATCCGAAGTTTGTAAAAAGTAGGCAGTAAACTTGACGGAATTTGAAGGCTAGCTTCCGGATTTGTTATTTCCGAATTTTATAATGTGATTGGCATTAAAA